CCATCATGCTCAGCTAATTTTTTTGTATTTTAATAGGGACGAGGTTTCACCATGTTGCCCAGGCTGATCTCGAAATCCTGAGGCAATCTGCCCGCCTCAGCCTCCCAAAGTGCTAGGGTTACAGGTATGAGCCACCGCACCTGGCCTGTCCCTCCCCTTCTTAAGTGACTTCCCATCACACTCAGAGTGAGAGCTTTGCTGGTCACTTCTCCACCCTAATTATCCTCTTCTCTCCTTGACTCTTGCTTTCCATGCGCCGGCCATGCTAGACTACCCTCACTTCTCTTGTCTTTTGGTCTTAGCATGTATCACTCTCCCTCCTTGTAATGTATTCTTTCTCCACTATTCCAGCATTGGTGGACATTTAAAACTACCACACTATCATGTCATGTTGTGTCTCACTGCTAATTTTCTTCAGAAAGTTCCTCTTTCCTAATTCCATGGACACTAAGCAACCTTATGATTAGAGTTTGGGTTTGCTTGTAGTTTTCTGACAGAATGTGCCCTGACCAGAAGAGAACCCCATTTGGGTCCTAGGGCAATGACTGTTCATTCTAAGATGAAATTTAGTCTCATCAGTTCCTGCTGAGTCAGGTTAGCATGAGCCAGGCCCAGAGGGAACAATTGTCTAGCTCCACTGACAGCAACAAACTTTTAGAAATGCAAAGTGGAGAACCAGCTTCTGGAACACGGTAAGACCATAACTAAGCTACCATTTAAGCATAAGGCTAACTACATGAATGTCTTTCTTACTGACTCAATGCAGGGGCAGTAATTCACAGATCTGCAGAATCTTAGGAAACAGTGGACATCTACCCAGCATTGATTCCTCCTTCTGGTAGCAGCATCCCAGTTTTTATTTGGTGACCTGTCCCTTCTGCGTTCATGTGGTTTGAAGGGCTGGCCCCATCCCCAAGTTCCAGAGTAAGCATGTGACCCAGGGCTCCCTAATCAGAATCACAGACATTGGTTCAAAGGATGGACATGTGACCTGATTCTAGCCAATGATATTCAGCCCAGACTTTTGCAGAAAATATTTGGATAAAGGTGTTCCCTTTCTGCTGGGGTAGTGGGCAGTGAATGTGAGACTGTAGCCAGACATTCCATGATGCAAGAAACACCTGCTGAGAGGAAGGCAGAGATGAAGACAATTCCCTCTTGCCGCAGTTTGAGGCTGTATATAGCTAAGCCTGGACTTCTGATTTCTGTCATTTAAAACCATAAGAGTTCTGACTAATGCACTCCCCAATTAACTCTGTTTTCTGCAGAAACTGCTCAGAACTGTACAATAAATCGCTGAGACACGAATTAGAAACTCATAAATGATGAGAGAAAAGAACTGGCAATGAGCCTTGAAACTAGCTAAAGATAGAGAGATAACGGAATAAAAACACCACTCAGTAGAGACTGATACTGATAAGTCAAAATAAGTGTCGTTGCTATGGTAACAAACAAAATGCAAAAGAAAAAAATTGAGAAAGAGGATCTTTAAAAATAGCGTTTTAACCTCAGATTATACAGTGAAAACTAGGGAAGAAGAAAGAGGGTAGAAAAGCCAGAGATGGGCCGGGCGCGGTGGCCCAAGCCTGTAATCCCAGCACTTTGGGAGGCCGAGGCGGGTGGATCACGAGGTCAAGAGATCGAGACCATCCTGGTCAACATGGTGAAACCCTGTCTCTACTAAAAATACAAAAAATTAGCTGGGCATGGTGGCGTGTGCCTGTAATCCCAGCTACTCAGGAGGCTGAGGCAGGAGAATTGCCTGAACCCAGGAGGCGGAGGTTGCGGTGAGCCTAAATCGCGCCATTGTACTCCAGCCTGGGTAACAAGAGCGAAACTCCGTCTCAAAAAAAAGAAAAGAAAAGAAAAGCCAGAGACTATGTCTTTGTTTTACGTAACATGAGGATAAAATTATTTAACAAATATATATAATTTCATAGAATTTTTCAGTGTGAAAAGCCTTATGTATACCTTATAATTTATGACACGAGATAGAAGGAACAACATAATTCATACAGTAAAAATCAAATACTTTCCTCACATTTGTAAATTAAAAAATAAATGGCAAGGGATTGCAAACAACAATATCAAAACACCAGAAAATTAGAAAAGTAGATGATCAAAGGTTAGATTAGGTATAACAAATAAACCAAATGCAAACAAGTAAAAATGTAAATTTTTAAAATTACTATTTAGAATACTAAAACCTTAGATCACATCAAAGAGCAAACTGAGTATATACTGTTGTTTAAAAAGGTTTGCCTATATATATATAGTATGTGTATGTGTATATATACACACATTATATAGTATATATATATATTAATAATATATGTAATATAAAAAGGCTTTGTGGCTGGCATGGTGGCTCACACCTGTAATTCCAGTGCTTTGAGAGGCTGAGGTGGGAGGATTGCTTGAGACCAGGCGTTCAAGACCAGCCAGGTCAACATAGCAAGGCCCTGTCTCTACAAAAGTAAAAATTAAAAAATTAATTGAGTGTGGTGGTACACACCTGTAGTCTAGCTACCCAGGAGGCTGAAGCAGAAGGATTCCTGGAGCTCAGGGGTTAGAGGCTGCAGTCAGCTATGATCATATCACTGCACTCCAACCTGGTCGACAGAACAAAATCCAGTTAAAAAAAAAAAATAAAGGCATTGTGATACTAAAGGTGACAAATAACCTAACAACACAAAACAAGAAGCAGAGCCGGTGTCAGCATGTATCTACAGTCCCAGCCACTCAGGAGACAGAGGCTGGAGGATCACTTGAGACTAGAAGTTTGAGGTTGTAGTACCATATGATCATGCTTGTGAATACGCATTGCATTCCAGCCTGGGCAATGCAGCAAGACCTTGTCTCTTTTAAAAAAAAAAAATCTATAGGAACACAACTAATAGAAACATAATTATAGGCTGGGCTGAGAGGCTCACACCTATAATCCCAATGCTTTGGTAGGCCAAAGCAGGAGGGTTGCTTGAGGCCAGAAGTTACAGATTATCCTGGGCAATGTAGCAAAGCCCCACTCTAAAAAAAAAGTTAAAAATTAGCCACATGTGGTGGCATGCATCTGCAGTCCTCTCTACTTGGGAGGCTGAGGTGGAAGAATGGCTTGAGCTCAGGAGTTTGAGGCTTCAGTGACCTGTAATAAAATATTATGATATACCATTATCAGACTATGAGATATAAACAAAAATAAAGATGGGTTAAACAGCAGAATTAATAAGGTCTAAAAACATATGCTGTGTAGGCCAGGCATGGTGGCTCACGCCTGTAATCCTAACATTTTGGGAGGCTGAGGCGGGTGGATCACAAAGTCAGGAGTTTGAGACCATCCTGGCCAACATGGTGAAACCCCATCTCTACTAAAAAATACAAAAATTAGCCGGGTGTAGTGGTGAGTGCCTGTAATCCCAGCTACTAGGGAGAATTGCTTTAACGCGGGAGGTGGAGATTACAGTGAGCTGAGCCGAGCCGAGCCACTGCACTCCAGCCTCAGCAACTGAGACCCTGTCTCCAAACACACACACACACACACACACACACACACACACACACACACACACACATGCTGTGTCCTACACCTACATAAAATACATCACCGCCACTCACAGTATCTCTGGAACATTTACAGCGATTTATCCTTTACTGGCCCGTGAAATTATTTTCCCCCCCGCCGAGATGGAGTTTCTCTCTGTCTCCCAGGCTGGAGTGCAGTGGTGCAGTCTCAGCTCACTGCAACCTCTGCCTCCCAGGTTTAAGCAATTCTCCTGCCTCAGCCTCCAAGTAGTTGTGATCACAGGCGCCCACCACCATGCCTGGCTAATTTCTGTATTTTTAGTGGAGATGAGGTTTCACCATGTTGGCCAGGCTGGTCTTGAACTCCTGACCTCAGGTGATCCACCCACCTTGGCCTCCCAAAGTGCTGGGATTACAGGCATGAGCCACCACCCCCAGCCCACAAAATTTTAAATAAATCCAAATAAACGGCCAGGCGTGGTGGGCTCACGCCTATAATCCAAGCACTTTGGAGGCCAAGGCGGGCGAATCACCTGAGGTCGAGAATTCAAGACCAGCCTGACCGACATGGTGAAACCCCGTCTTTGTAAAAATAAAAAGTAAAAAAATAAAAATCCAAGGCCGGGCGCGGTGGCTCATGCCTATAATCCCAGCCCTTTGGGAGGCCAAGGCGGGTGGATCACGAGGTCAAGAGATCAAGACCATCCTGGTCAACAAGGTGAAACCCCACCGCTACTAAAAAAAACACATACAGAAATTAGCTGGGCATGGTGGTGCATGCCTGTAGTCCCAGCTACTCGGAGGCTGAGGCAAGAGAATTGCTTGAACCCAGAAGGCGGAGGTTGCGGTCAGCCGAGATTGTGTCATTGCACTCCAGTCTTCGTAACAACAGCGAAACTCTGTCTCAAAAAATAAAATAAATAAAAATCCAAATAAACAGAAATTGTTGAGGTCAAATCCTCTGATCACAGCACAGTTTAACAAATGGATAATCATACAAAGTTTAAAATTTTTTTTTTTAAGACAGCAGTTTCACCATGTTGGTCAGGCTGGTCTTGAACTCCCAACCTCAGGTGATCCGCCCGCCTTGGCCTCCACAGTGCTTGGATTACAAGTGTGAGCCACTACGCCTGGCCTAAAGTTTAAAATTAACAAACATCCAACTAAGTGCTTTAGTAGAACACTAGCAAACATTCTACTGAATAAGATTTCAGTCAGATGGCCGGACGTGGTGCCTCATGCCTGTAATCCCAACACTTTGGGAGGCTGAGGTGGGCAGATCATCTGAGATTGGGAGTATAAGACCAGCCTGGCCAACATGGTGAACCCTGTCTCTACTAAAAATACAAAAATAGGTACATGAAGCCGGGTGAGCACGGCCGGCAGGCTAGGGGGCTGGGTCCTCGCCCCGGCCTAGGCTAGCGGAGGTGGTGGTGAGGGATACGGACCCTCTGTCTCCCAGCCCCAGTATAAGCTAACAGTGGAGTTCTGGGCTCGCTTCACACATCCCTCGCCTCCGTAGGCAACAAGGAGCGAGGTTGGAACGACCCGCCACAGTTCTCATACGGGCTGCAGAGCCAGGCCGGCAGACCCAGGCACGCACTACTCACCAAGAGGGTCGCCACACCCCAGGATAGATCCCCCAGAGTCCCAGCCTCAGAGACTTCTCCTGGGCCTCCCTCAATGGGGCCTCCAGCTCCTTCAAGTAAGGCTCCCAGGTCCTCACCTGTGGGGAGTGATCCTGCCTCTGGTGTGGAGCCCACAAGTTTCCCAGTTGAGTCTGAGGCTCTGATGGAAGATGAGCTGAGACCTTTGGAACAGGCATTGGAAGACTGCCGTGGCCACACAAAGAAACAAGAATGTGATGACATCAGCCGACGCCTGGCACTGCTGCAGGAACAGTGGGCTGGAGGAAGGTTGTCAATACCTGTAAAGAATAGAATGGCTCTACTGGTACAAGAGCTTTCAACCCACCAGTGGGATGCAACAGATGGCATCCACTGCTCACTCATGGTTGACCATGTGACTGAGGCCAATCAGTGGATGGAGTTAAAAGATTAATTGCGGAAAGAAGAGTCTGTTTTCAGAGGAGGCAGCCAATGAAGAGAAATCTGCAGCCACAGCTGAGAAGAACCAGACCATACCGGGCTTCCAGCGGGCGCCATAATCGTCGGTTCCTCAGACTCACCCGACACCATCACCTACTCCTTGGAGTCCTTCTCTTACTTGGCTCCCTCTTACCACCAACGAGACTGTCCCACTGGGCCTGACCCACCTATGAGGGAAGAGGTCCCACCTGGGCCAGAGGGAGTTCGTGTGTTACTCATAACATGCATTTCAATAAAAACATGTCAGTGGTGAAAAAAAAATACAAAAATTAGCCAGGTGTGGTGGTGGTTGCTTGTAATCCTAGCTACTTGGGAGGCTGAGGCAGGAGAATCACTTGAACCTAGGCGGCAGAAGTGAGCCGAAACCGTGTCATTACACTCCAGTGTGGGCAACAAGAGTGAAACTCAATTAAAAAAAAAAAAAAGGTTTTAGTCAGGAAGCCAGACTCAGTGGCTCACACCTGTAATCCCAGCACTTTGGGAGGCCGAGGCAGGTAGATCACTTGAGGTAGATCACTCAGCATTTCAAGACCTGCCTGGCCAACGTGATGAAGCCCCATCTCTACCAAAAATACAAAAATTAGCTGATCATGGTGGCAGGTGCCCGTAATCCCAGCTACTTGGGAGGCTGAGGCAGGAGAATTGCTTGAGCCCAGGAGGCAGAATTTGCAGTGAACTGAGATTATGCCATTGCACTCCATCTTGGGTGACGGAGCAAGACTCTCTCTCTCAAAAACAAACAAAACAAAAAAAAGTTTCAGTCAGAAAGGAAATCAAACAGTAACAGGCCAAAAGGATGATGGCTAACACCTGCAATCTCAGCACTTTGGGAAGCAGAGGTGGGAAGACTGCCTGAGGCCAGGAATTTGAGACAAGTCTGGGCAACATAGTAAGACCCTGTCTCTAAAAAAAATTAGAAAATAGGTCGGACGCAGTGGTTCATGCCTATAATCCCAGTACTTTGGGAGGCTGAGGCAGGTAGATCACGAGGTCAAGAGATCAAGACCATCCTAGCCAACGTGGTGAAAATCCATCTTTACCAAAAATACAGAAGTTATGGCTGGGCGCAGTGGCTCAAGCCTGTAATCCCAGCACTTTGGGAGGCCGAAGTGGGTGGATCACGAGGTCAAGAGATCGAGACCATCCTGGTCAACATGGTGAAACCCCGTCTCTACTAAAAATACAAAAAACTAGCTGGGCACGGTGGCACGTGCCTGTAATCCCAGCTACCCAGGAGGCTGAGACAGGAGAATTGCCTGAACCCAGGAGGCGGAGGTTGCAGTGAGCCAAGATCGCGCCATTGCACTCCAGCCTGGGTAACAAGAGCGAAACTCTGTCTCAAAAAAAAAAAAAAAAAAAATATATATATATATATATATATACACACACATATATATATATATACACATATATATATACATATACATATATATACACATATATATATACATATACATATATATATACATATATATATACATATATACATATACATATACATATACATACTATATATATACGTATATATATATACATATATATATATACAAAAATTACCCAGGCGTGGTGGCAAGCACCTGTAGTCCCAGCTACTTGGAGGGCTGAGGCAGGAGAATCACTTGAACCTGGGAGGCAGATGTTGCAGTGAACTGAGGTTACACCACTGCACTCTAGTCTGGTGACAAAGCAAGACTCCATCTCAAAAATAAATAAATTAATTAAAAATAAAAATATATAAAAAAATTACCTGGGTGTGATGGTGGATGCCTGTAGTCCCAGCTGCTCAGGAGGCAGAGGTTGGAGAATCCCTGGAGCCTAGGAATTCCAAGTTACAGTGAGCTATGATTGAGGCTTACTGCAGCTTCAGCCTCCTGGGCTCAAGCCATCCTCCCACCTCAGTCTCCCAGGTAGCTGGGACTACAGGTGTGTGCTGCCATGCACAGCTAATTTTTTTATTGTTTGTAGAGACCAGGTCTTGCTATGTTGCCCAGGCTGGTCTCCAACTCCTAGGCTCAAGCAATCCTCCTGCCTTGTCTCCCAAAGGGCTGGGTTTACAGGTGTGAGTCATTGTGCCTGGCTGAGCGCCTGTCTCATTTAAAAAAAAAAAAAAAAGGCCAGGGGCGGTGGCTCATGCCTGTAATCCTAACACTTTGGGAGGCCGAGGAGGGCAGATTGGCTGAGGTGAAAAGTTTAAGACTTGGCTCAGGTCTTAAACTTTTGACCTCAGCCAAGTTAGTTTCGGCTAACTTGGCAAAACTCCATCTCTACTGAAAATACAAAAAATTAGCTGGGCGTGGTGGTGGGCACCTGTAATCCCAGCTACTCGGGAGGCTGAGGCAGGAAGAATTGCTTGAACCTGGGAGGTGGAGGTTGCAGGGAGCTAAGATTGCACCATTGCACTCCAGCCTGGCAACAGAGCGAGACTCTGTCTCAAAAAGAAAAGAAAAAGATGGCCGGGCGCGGTGGCTCACGCCTATACTCCCAGCACTTTGGGAGGCCGACGCGGGTGAATCACGAGGTCAAGAGATGGAGACCATCCTGGTCAACAAGGTGAAACCCCGTCTCTACTAAAAATACAAAAATTAATTGGGCACGATGGTGCGCGCCTGTAGTCCCAGCTACTTGGGAGGCTGACGCAGGAGAATTGCTTGAACCCAGGAGGCAGAGGTTGCGGTGAGCCAAGATCGTGCCATTGCACTCTAGTCTGGGTAACAAGAGTGAAACTCTATCTCAAAAAAGAAAAAAGAAAAAGATGCAGTAACACTCTTTGGAAAATCATGAAAATAATAAAACTCCTACTACAAACTTGGAAGACTTTCTTCAACATTAGGCTGGGGTGACCCCTCGTACTGATATTATATTATAACATTGCTTTGGCCCAAATAAGAGCAGCTGCCTTTTATCTCCTTTTCTGGGTTCCTCTTATCTCCCCATTCCTTAAATTCGAGTACCAGTCAGAATCTTTCAGCTGTAAGTACAAAAAGCCCTGAATCAAACACAGCCAGGACCGGGGTAAGATGAGTGAGGCACCTGGGGTGTAACATTTAAGGAGATAGTCACTCTTAGGATTAGCAAGTGCAGCGTCAGCATCCAAGAGTGAGCACCTCCTTCAATATTCCGTCCTAGGCGCTCAACTGCCTCACCTTGGTTCTGGCCAAACCCACTTGGTACAAAGAGTAAGGACACATCCTTTCTCATCTAACACAGGAAGGGCTCTGGCTCCTCGTCTCTGCTCTTTCTGAGGCACTGCCCTCCTCCCTGAGTTGGCATCATCCTGAAGCAAGTAGGGAGGTGGCTGTGGTGAACCCAGACAACACATAGTACCACACTATTCAAAGGCAGAAAGAGACTAGGAGCCTCCTCAGGAGTAAGAAGCCCCCCAGCAGTCTTCCCCTCATGCTTCACGGACACGCTAGGTTGCATGCCCACCCCATCTAATCACCATTTTCTACTTCTAATATTTTCTAGTTTTTTTTTTTTTTTTTGAGACAGAGTCTCTCTTTGTTGCCCAGGCTGGAGTGCAATGGCATGATCTTGGCTTACTGCAACCTTCACTTCCTGGGTTCAAGCGATTCACCTGCCTCAGGCTCCTGAGTAGCTGGGATAACAGGTGCCTGTCAATATGCCTGGCTAATTTTTGTACTTTTAGTAGAGACAGGGTTTGCCATGTTGGCCAGGCTGGTCTCGAACTCCTGACCTCAGGTGATCTGCCCGCCTCAGCCTCCCAAAGTGCTGGCATGGGCCTCTGCACCCAGCTGTGAACTGTTTTTAATTTTAAAACAATTAATTAATATAAAATAAAATAATAAATAAATTAATATACGGCCAGGCCCGGTGGCTCACGCCTGTAATCCCAGCACTTTGGGAGGCCGAGGCGGGCAGATCACAAGGTCAAGAGATTGAGACCATCCTGGCCAACACAGTGAAACCCTATCTCTACTAAAAATACAAAAATTAGCTGGATGTGGTGGCATGTGCCTGTAACCCTAGCTACTCAAGAGGCTGAGGTGAAAGAATCGCTTGAACTGGTGAGGCAGAGGTTGCAGTGAGCCGAGATTGTGCCATTTGCACTCCAGCCTGGCGACAGAGCGACACTGTCTCAAAAATACAAAATTAACTAACATTCAGTAAAATTGACTTGTAAAATGTACACAGTAGTATTTATATTAGTCTTTCGGTTTTTGGTTTGTGTTTTCTTTAAAGGCAGGGTCTCACTCTGTCGCCCAGGGTGAAGTGCAGTGGTTCGATCATGGCTCACTTCAGCCTTGATCTCCTAGGCCCAAGGGATCCTCCCACCTCAGCCTCCCTAGTAGCTAGGACTACAGGTATGTGACACCATGCCCAGCTAATTTTGCACATTTTTGCAGAGACTGGATTTCGCCATGTTACCCAGGCTGGTCTCAGACTCCTGGGTTCAAGCGATCCACCTGACTTGCCTTGGCCTCCCAAAGTGCTGGGATTAAGTTCTATGAGTCTTAACACATGTATAGAGTTAGTAACTATCCCTTTTTTTTTTTTTTTTTGAGACGGAGTTTCGCTCTTGTTACCCAGGCTGGAGTGCAATGGCGCGATCTCGGCTCACCGCAACCTCTGCCTCCTGGGTTCAAGCAATTCTCCTGCCTCAGCCTCCCGAGTAGCTGGGACTACAGGTGTGTGCCACTGTGCCCAGCTAAGTTTTGTATTTTTAGTAGAGACGGGGTTTCACCTTGTTGACCAGAATGATCTCAATCTCTTGACCTCGTGATCCACCCACCTCGACCTCCCAAAGTGCTGGGATTATAGGTGTGAGCCACCGCGCCTGGCCAAGTTAGTAACTATCCTTACAAGAAAGCTATGCAAGACTTCATCACCATCCCCAACACCCAAAAAACTCCCTTATGTTGTCCTTTTATAGTCATACTCTCTGCACCCTGAAACTCTAGCAACTAACCCACTGGTCTGTTTGCTATCACTATAGTTTTGTCTTTTTAAGATGTCATATGGGGGGGACAAAAAAAGTGTCTTTGTTTGGGCTGCTATCATAAAATACTATATACTGGTAGCTTAGACAGCAACCATTGATTTCTCGTGGTCCTGGAGGCTGGGAAGTATAAGATCAAGGCACTGGATAATCTGGTGTCTCTTTTTTTTTGAGACGGAGTTTCGCTGTTGTTACCCAGACTGGAGTGCAATGGCACAATCTCGGCTCACCGGAACCTCCACCTCCTGGGTTCAAGCAATTCTCCTGCCTCAGCCTCCTGAGTAGCTGTGTGCCACCGTGCCCAGCTAAGTTTTGTATTTTTAGTAGAGACAGGGTTTCACCTTGTTGACCAGAATGATCTCAATCTCTTGACCTTGTGATTCACCCACCTCGGCCTCCCAGAGTGCTGCGATTATAGGCATGAGCCACCATGACCGGTCAATCTGGTGTCTCTTAAGGGTCCAATTTGTGGCTTGCAGACAGCTGCTCTTTCACATATACTTACATGGTTAAGACAGAGCTGATCTCTCTTCTGTCTCCTCTTTAAGAGCACTACTCCAGCCAGGCACAGTGGCTCACACCTGTAATCCCAACACTTTGGAGTTTGAGACCAGCCTGACCAACACAGTGAAACCCTTCTCTACTAAAAATAAAAAAATTAGCTTGGCGTGGTGGCACACCTCTGTAATCCCAGCTACTTGAGAGACTGAAGCAGGAGAATCGCTTGAACCTGGGAAGCAGAGGTTGGTGTTTGCAGAGATCACGCCACTGCACTCCAGCTTGGGCAACAAAGCAAGACTCCATCTCAAAACAAACAAACAAAACAAAACAAGAAACAAATGGTAAGTGGTAAGTTTTATATTATGTATATTTTGCCACAATAAAAAATCC